GGGGGGGGGTACTTCTTTTTAGAACCCTGTATTTAAACAAGACTTCTTTTTAAGTATTGTTTAAATTTTAAGTTTCAAGTCTTCTGGCATCACCAGACTACCAAATCGAAACCCGGGGCGTAAAACAGGGCAGTATTTGTGTTCTTAATTAAAAAAAGAGAAAAAGCTTTATGTATGTGTGCTCTATAAATACAAATGCATAGACAACACTTTCCCTTGAGTTGCACATCAACATATATAGCATTGTATATTACAATGGAAATTTGTAACTTAAGGGTATTATATATATAAATACATATATACCTTTGTAACCTTTATACTGTAAATAAAAAATTGCTTTTAGACTTGTATTTTTTCTTTTAATGTTAAAATAGTTCCAAACCTACAGGAAAGTTTTAAGAACAGTACAAAGAACTCCTACATCCCCAAATTTCCCAGTTGTTAATATTTTAGCACATTTGTTCCATCTTTTTCTGACATGACGCCCTGTCAGCCTTAAATTCTCTAGCGTGTACCTCCAAACACAAGGACGCTCTCCTGCATCGCCACCACACAGCCCTCCCAATGAGGAAACCAACATGGGTACGACACTACCTCCCCACCCAGACCCCATTCAAATGGTACCAATGGTCCCAGCAACTTCCTTTTCCTTTCTTACACAGGACCCTATCCAGTACCACATGTTGTGTTTGGTTGTCATGTCTCATCAGTCTTTTCTGGTGCCACTTCTAAGCAGATTTAGGGCAAATCCAAACACTTTAAAAACTTAATTTTGGTTCTCATCCCACCAGTGACTTTCTGTGTGATGGGAGTTTAATCATTGGATCTATCTGAGCTTTATCATACTTTGAGTCACACAGAGGAGTGAGAGGGGAGATGGCTTCCCAGGAATCAAACTAAGAATCATCAGTGCTCCATTTATTTGGGTGTCAGTCACTCACTTCGTGCAATATCTTAGCAAAACTTTGCCCTGGCCCTACCTCTCCAAAATGTTACTCACCTAAATCTGGTTTTTGTTCACAAATCTGGTTTTTGTTTTGGGTGGCTCTTGGCCCCACCCAAGGGGTTCCCTAACAAAGTGTTAGGAACGCATTCCTTGGCACAAGCCCTAGAATGCTGGAGTTTGTACAGTCTGATTTTACTAGGTCGTATTGCTAAGCAGAGTTGATTCACTGGTCCAGGCTTGGGTTTACAACAAGTGCCACAGTCTGAGCATCATGATCCCATCTAGAAGAGTGCTGTGCGAGAAAGAGCAAAAGGATTTGAGCATTTAAATATCAATGACTTTCACCAGTTGGGCGTGGCTCAGCGGCTGAGCATCTACCTAGGATCTAGATCACAGTTCGATTCCTGGTCAGGGCACATGCCTGGGTTGTGGGCTCCATCCCCAGCCTGGGCGGGGGCCTGCAGGAGGCAGCTGATCAGTGATGACTCTCACCATTGATGTTTGTATCTCTCTCCCTCTCCCTTCCTCTCTCTGAAATCAATAAAGATACTTAAAAAAAAAAAAAAAAATGACTTTCTACCTAAAGTGTA